CCCAACCCCCCCCCCCCCCCCCACGGGGTGCCATCTGTTGCGCCTCCATCCATCCATCCATCTATCTGCTGACGGCATGTTCTGAGAGCTGGCCATGCCACCATACTATATCGATTCACACTACCACCACTGCTATCATGCACACCGGGTTTTGGCGTTCCCGGGTGTGCAGGGACAGCTGCATGGGACGAATGCGTCCATGGGGTATTCTGGATGGATGTACTACGGGCTTTTTGAATGTCGACACACACAGAACAGAGCACAGATACGGATGGGGGTGAACGACCTACATGAAGCGTGGATGCGTGGGGGGGTTAATGGCTGTGTCAATGCATTTATCGCGGCAAGTATAGCCATGTGAGCGACCTTCTGAGGCCTTTCCCATCCAACGACCAACCAGGCAAACGATTCTAGCGATTCTCCATTCAATCGTGCCTTGATTTATCGACACCGATATACGTGTGTCTGTCTCGGCCCGCCCCTCAATCAGCCAGACAGACAGACTTGCGCATGTCTCGACCATCGATCCATCCATTCATCGCATACGCCTCCTAATATACAGTCACGCAGCCGGCCATCCATCCATCCATCCACCCACCCACGTCATCGATTCAGCCAGTCAGTCCGTCGAGTCATCACATCAGCACGGCAGCGCATCCAGCATACAGCACACACCCACAGCAGCCGCCGCAGCCAACCAGCCAACACTCGCTAACAGACCGCCTTCCTGACCGAGACACAACAACAATCCACAACAGGCACCTTTCCCTTCTTGTTGTGGCCTTTCCCTTCTCACCTTCAACACGCCAGCTGTCTGTCAGGTCTGGAAGTGCCGCGTGAAGATGGCGGAGAAGGCATCCAGCACGAGATACGCGTCAAATGTGTTGATGACGCGACGCGTCACCTTGCGCCTCTTCGCGGCGGCGGCCTGGGTGTTGGTGTGGGTGTTGGTGTGGGTCTGAGGAGGGGGTTGGACAGGGGATGCCTGAGCCGGGGCCGCAGCAGCTGCCGCAGCTGCTGCTGCAGCTGCTGGAGCCTGGTGGGGATCCTCAGCATCACCGGGCAGAAACACCTCATCAGCCAGCTGAGAAGGAGACAGACAGAGGAGTAGGAGATCTTCTTGCATTCTTTGTCTTTGTCTTTGTGTGTGGGAGGCGCCCGCCCGCTTACGTACGTAAGCTATGAGAGCCGCGTACTGCGGGGCGTGCGTGCGAAGAAGATGCGCGAGCGACCGGATGCTCTCCGGCGGCAGGGCGTCGAGCGACGGTCTCATGAGCTGGAAGGTCCGGGACTGCCCCACCAGAGCGGCCAGAGAAGCTATGATTTCCACGGCACGAATGAGATCGAACGGCACCAGAGCCGACTTGAGCGACTGGCGTGCCGACACACAGACACATGGTGGGATGGATGGTTTGATGGATGTGTTGCGTGTTGTCGCCGCCTACCTCTTGGGCGATGCTAGTGGAGTTTTGCGACATGTTCGCGGTGACCCACCCCTGCAGCACCTTGGCATACGCCAGGTGGATGACCGGCACCTCCGTGGCGCCCAACTCCTCAGCAAAGTGCTGGAACGACAGGTCAGCCTCATCGCTAAAGCCGATCATCACCCACCATGTCTCTGCACACGCACACACGCAGAACGGATCGACACACGCACAGACACTCCGCCATCCACCCAACCGTCCCTCTCTCCCTCTCCTCCCCGCCCACTCGTACCGATGTGTAGCTCTGTCACTTGTGAGGGCTGGTAGTTTTGCACGTCCAGGATGGTCGGGTGTGTGCGAGGGGCGGGGGCTGGGGGCCGGGGCGGGGGCGGGGGTGGCGGCGCTGCGGCTGCCTGCTGCTCGGCCTCCTCCTCCTGCCTCTTGCGCACGTAGTCGTTGAGCCAGTCCACCATTAGCTGCTCGAAGCCGCGGGAGAGCAACTCGCGGCAGCGCTTGAGCTGAAGGGATTGAACCATCAAAATATGCAGGCGCACGGGGAAAGAGGTGTGGGTGTTTGGGGTGTGGATCAATGGATGGATGGATGGATGGCATACCTCGATTTTCATTTTGCTGTGTTTCCTGGTCTGCGCCTCGTGCCATTTGATCACGTCGCGCTGGTCCATGCGCTTGTCGCCGAAGAACTGACACACAGGCGCGAGAACCATCCACACACACACAGACCTCAGGGCAATGGGGGCCATGCCACCCGTGTTGCTCTGTCTCCGTCGTCTGTGTGTGCATTCCATTCCATTCATCTCTTCTCTCACCGAGTCTACGATCTTGTGGTCGGCCTCGAGGTCTTGATACTTGGTCACAATGCTGTCCTTATACCCGTCCCACAGCTCACTCAGGCCCCCTCGACGCACCTCCCGGCCAAATAGCTCCCGGCCCAGCTCCTCGTCATCCTCCACATCGAAGACTGAAGCATCACACAACCACAAAGAGGCCACCCTTTGTTCTTTGTGTTGGAGCGGGAGGTCGGCTTACGATCGGGGTCGAATTCAATTCCGCCCATTCTAATGGGTCCCTTCGACGGCGCCCCGCCTGCTGGTGCAGCTGCAGCAGCAGCAGCCGCACTCGAAGCAGCTGCAGCCTCCTTAGCCTCCTTAGCCGCCTTCGCCTTGGCGGCCTCCAGCTCTGCGATCAGCTGCTGCTGCTTCACACTCTGAGATACAGAGGCATACACACATAACACACGCATGAGTGTCTGACAAACGGCTCCCTCTTCTTTGCGTGTGAGCATTGGGTGATGAATCATGACATGCATGTTTGGCGCACTGCTCTATGAGGTCGATGGCGAACCGGTTGGGGCGGAGGTCCTCCTCGCGCAGCGGCTGGCGGGTCTGCGGCGACACGACCGCCGCACCCTGCTCGCGAATCATGGCCTTCAGAGGACTGTACCTGCACACACACATCCACACATCCACACACATGCATCGACACACCATTAACTGATGAACGGATGGATGGCCGATTACTCGTATGTGTTGCCGCTTGGGGTGATGACGGGTTTCTTAAAGGGCTGCAGCGTGATGGGGCAACGCAACATCTCACCGGGGAACGCATCCTCCTCCACTGCAACACACACACACACACACATCAAACCATTGCATGCAAGTGTGCAGTGACGTGCATCCCCCTCCCTCAACCCCTCTGTGTGCGCCGTGTCCGTCCGTACTCTTGTCAAGTGCATCAGCTAGGTTTGGGTCTACAGGTGAGAACTGCAGCGTCCTCCGCCTTCCTCCCCGCCCAGCTCCACGCCCCGCAACGGGAGCGCCCCGTCCGGCAGCACCAGCCATCGCAGCCATGTGTGCATTCTGGTGCGGCGGGTTAGCCGGCTGCTGGTGCTGGTGCTGAGGACCTTGCTGCTGCTGGGGTGGCGCTTGAGGAGGGCCAACGGCTACGCCAAAGGGGCCAAAGGGAGGAGGGGGAGGCCTATAGAAGAAGTTGAAGAGGAGTCCCGCATCGGGCAGAGGCTCACCATTAAACATCACAAGGCGCACAACATGCGGGAGCGAAGAGCGGCCCTTCACACAGGGAAGGGCGCTCCCGACCGGCCAGGCGGAAAAACTCAGCCGTAGCTCGCATCTCTTTCCTCGAAGATCGCCCCTTTCTTTAGTGTCGCTGTTACGGTCATCACTGAAGCCATTGTTGACATCCTCCATCATCAAGAAACGACAACTTTAGCGTCAGAATTGTCTGACTTGGAGGGAGCTTCAGCAACCAAACACACATTGTCAAGTCCAGGACACAAGTATCAGCCACCACCCCAGCCAGCGACGGCGGCAGAGGAATCTGCAATATATCGACAGTCCGATGCCCGGGAGCACCACTGGTTTCTCATACAAGGTCGAGGCGTCCAAGGGTGCCGCGTTCCATGGAGGGGCGTCTGCGGGAGCCAAAATCGCCTGCATGGAGGTAGGTGATTGGGGGGAAACAAACCCACACGACACACACAATGCGAGCGACACATTCACACAGAAGGAAAAGCAGCTGGGGCAGTTGTCGTCACTCATAGTTGTTGGTGGTGGTCTAGGCGTGTCTGTACCTCCAGTCTGACCGTCATATCAGCAGCACCGTGGCCGACGCCATCGTGCAGCTGCGGGACCTCGCCATACGAGTCGACCTGCAGGCAAGCACACACACACGCATAGCATACACACGTGCAGCGAGCAGCGAATGACTGGGTCGGTGGCTGGTGCAGGAGGCGGATGTGACGGGTTTAATGGGCCCGCTGCCTCGCTACGGTGTGGCACTGCGGGTCGAGAAGGCGCTCGAAACCAGACCATCGGACATCCACAACATCATTCTCGAGCTTGGTGAGAAGGCTCCTTAACCGACTGAGTGCTTTGGCAGGCATCATGGTTGTGTGTGTGTGTGTGTGTGCAGCTCGTGTGTGCAACAAGTATCGGCGGCATGCGTCCCTGCTGCTGAGTCGTGGCCCTGAGGCGCTGCTGGTGCACCTGTACTTCAACACCAACGCTGCTGACCCGTCGTCCACTGCGTCATTCTTCCCGCTGCTCTTCGACCCCAGACGAAGACACGGTCGGTGCTGACATACGGCCAGCCACAAGCGTCAGTCATCCCATGCGTCCATCATGTCTGTGTGCGCCTGTGTGCAGATCATCAGGCGGCCGCTTTCTTGTACTTCGATTCGATACCGCTCTGCGCACAGGTGAGAGAGAACAGTGCAGATCGGCATCGACAGACAAGACAAGATCCGTCATCATCCAGTGGGTGCATGAGTCGATGCCTTCCTTCCTGCTGTCAGTATGTGGGTGCCATCCTGGGCGGCCCATCCTTCACGAGCCCTGTGGAGCCCGTCCGCGCCCACTGCCTCATGATGAGGTCCGACGCACCCACTCTGCCCGCGCTGCCATCACTCCTTGACGACTACACTGGTACGCAACACACACACGAGCACAAAGGAAGGGGACGCCGGCAGAGCTGAGAGCGTCCTGTATGCCTGCAGTGATGGCAATGCGCCGTGAAGCGCCGCAGAATCTCGAGTCGTCAGTGTCGCCCACGCCCCGACTCCCGTCAACAACCACACCCCAGCCGCCCCCATCCACCGTCTTCGGCACGCGCACGTCGACAGATGTGGCCCCATCCACCGAAGCCATGCAGTCGTCGCCATGGGAGGTGCCCTGGCGGCCCGGGGCGAGGGCAGTGGACGCTGGCGGGGCTGCGAGCGGCAGCACCGCGACTCCCGACAGCCTGCCTGGCGTCAATGGTGTGCCGGAGCCACAAGCTGAGCCCCCAAATGGGCCGCTGTACGGAGGTGGGCAGGGGAGAAAACAAGAGAAGGGGGCATTCGTGCACATGATGTCTTTCATATTGTTTGTCCGTGCGGTGCGCAGGTGATGTGAGCAGTGCTTATCCGAGTGAGTCAGCGATGCGTCGGCCGCCTCAGCCTCACCCCTACGGCCACTCGCTCACCGGCGTGGAGGCCACGTTGGCTGCCGACCAGATATCGAATCTCACTGAGCGTGTCCAAAGACTAGAGGTAGGCCACCACCATCACGCTTCTGTTATTTCAACTCAGGGGAGGTGTCTGCTTTGCGTGAGTTAGGAGGAGAACAAGCGGCTGGCGGCGCAGAAGAGCCTTCTGGACGATCAGGTGGGTGAGGTGGGTCGATGCGATGGGCGTAGGACTGGCTGGCGGGCAGACGCAACAAACATTGGATGGATGGATGCATGTGCTACATTTCTGTCCTCCCCTCGTGCAGCTGTGTTCGCTGCAGCGGCAATACGAGACCGACATCATCATGCGCCACGCAAGAGACTCAGGTGAGAGACAACAGGGGAGGCAGGCAGGCAGGGTGGGAAGGAGCACACGATGCATAAAAACACGTTTGTGTGTGTTGTTCGTGTGTGGTGGGATGGACGGCTATAGAAGGCATCCGCATCGAGCCTGGGACCGGGGTGCCTGTCTGCGGCCCGCATTGTGGGCAGGCGTGTGCCATCATGTGATTGATTAGTCTCACTCGACTTCACTCACTCGTACATCCATGGCGTGGGTGTGAGTGGACGACAGAGTTGAATGAATTCGCTCAAGGGGGGCCGAATGGATTGCTGCCAGATGACGTCAGAGAGGGGGGGACAATTTGGATGTAGCTGCCGTGGACAGATGATATCCGATTCATCCATTCACTTTCGTCTGCTCTTCTCTTTCGACATGTCTGTCAATCGGTCCATTGGGTCTCGCGTCGCAAGACACCTCCCTTACTCCCTCGCGCCGCACGCGACCACAACACACAAGGAAAACTGGCAACAACACTAACGCATCGGATCTCACTCATAGGGCCACAATACGCCCTATCATCACCACCACTCACTCACACACGAAGGAACGGACACACCCTATCATCACCACCACTCACTCACACACGAAGGAACGGACACACGACAAGAAAACCATGCGGTCGTCGGCTCGAATCGTTGATCCATCAAAACGCCGTCGCGCCATCCATCTCAGCCACCGAAGATCGTCTAGGCCAAAGCCGCCCTGGCCTGTGGAATGTGGCTCTCACTGTCCAGCAGGTTGTCGTATACCTGCGCAGACAGAACAAACACACAGTGGTGGACAGAGCACAGCTATCTATCGCCGGGCGACTTGGTGATCGAGTGGCTGACCTTCTTGACGATGCCGTCCTTGCCGATGACGTAGGTGACCCTCCCAGGCAGAGCACCGAACATGGCGCCTGGGACCTGCCACTGTTTTCTGACCTCGCCCCCAATGTCGCTCAGCAGCGTCATCTTGAGACCATAGGCACTGATGAATTCGGAATGGTCTGCATCACTAGACACCCCGATCACCTGTACTTCAGGTAGATGAACAGATGGATGGACAGGCATCAGAAGCGACAGATGAACTGACTGTCTGCCGACTGACCTCTGCGCCCAGCTTCTTGAAGTCATCGAGTGCTGTATTGAAGGCCTGGGCCTGCTTGGTGCACCCCGGGGTCATGTCCTGCACAACACAAGAGCCCATATCGATCAGACAACGACACAGACATAAGGGACCAATTGTGTGTGCGCCCGTCACTAGTGACAAGCACGCCACGCACATTATCCCCCTACCGCAGGGTAGAAGAAGACGACCACCGACTTCTTGTTCTTGAAGGACGACAGCTTCACCACCTTCCCACTCTGGTCCTGGTCACATGAGACAATCACAACACATCATCATCTTCAGAATGCACAGACAGGGCATCCACAGCCAACAGCAGCCACGCAGCCCACCTTGAGGGAGAAATCAGGCGCCATCTCGCCGACCTTGACCATAGACAGAGGCGCATATCGGTGGCTCAGCGACGGCCGCCGAAAGCGAATGGGGAGGGCCTGTGGGGAGGGAACGAAGGAGGCGGTCTGCAAGACACACACACATGACTGATCTGAATGCATGATCTTATCTTCCATGATGAGGAGTCTGGGCTCACCTCCTTCAGTGCGTTAGCAGCGCAGATAACGCTGCTGACCACAAGTGCCACACTGCTGATCATTGCTGTCGCGAACTGGGATCTGGGTTTCGGAAACCCTCCGCTTCAAGCTCGCAAATCGAACCCCTGAAACTGCTGCTGAAACCCTTGACCCTGTGAACATTGACATCAATGCGCAGCAGGGAGTGTGTGTGCATGCACCTCTGCGAGTGTGTTTGTACGAATCAACCTGGGTGATTGATTCATGGACTAAACCATTCACGTCACGCATCAACCAAGGGATGGATGCACCACACCGGGGCAGCGCCTTCCCACCAGTTAGTCACTCATCTATCTATCTGTCTGTCCGTCCGTCCGTCTGTCCGCCCGTCCAACATTTGTGCACGCACGTACTGTACCTCATCTTCTGATACAATCACGAAACACGGCCCAGCGCTACAGGTCGGCGACCGGCAGTCAGGAACAGCGCCAGCTCACTGCACACCACGCGCATGTGCAGAGGGGGCAGACACAGCACATGATGTATGGCCGTGCCTCGTGTTGCTTCGCTCTTCCTCGCCTCCCTCACCTGGTTGTTCTCCGGGAAGTGGTCATTGTCAGCGCTTCACGAGGCCCTCCGGCCAAGTTAAGGGCCGCATGCTGGTGGGCCGTAGGACACGGTGCTGGCTGTCTTGGCGAAAGCGCCGATGAGGGTCTGGACGGCTGGGGCGCTGGTGCTGGTGCTGGTGCACGAGAAGCTCCGCCTCAGTCTGTCCGCCGGTTCCGTCCTCGTTGAGCTCGAACGCCCTTCTCCACTGCTTCGGGATGCGCAGCAATGGCGTCACTGCAGAAACGCACCAGAAGACGAGCACATCTGATGTACGTCACGCGCACTTGACCCCTTCCTCTTCTCGCTTGAGCACGCTCCTTTTCGTCCTTGTCGCCGCTCACGGCCGTTCGCTGTCCCATCTGCTCGCAGCTATCTCCGCTCTGCCGTTGCCCGCCTCGCCATCTGACCACTGCCTGATTCGCATCGCGTCCTCTCTTGAGTGGGTCTCCTTGGAGTGGCTGAAGCTGATGGCCGAGCATGGTCACTTGGGCGGCCGCTGTCTCACTGCGTGTTTCTTGATGGGGGCTGTTTGGTCCTGCAGGGGATGAGCACTCGTGAGGCCGCTCAGCCGTCGAAGGGGAGAATCCGTCACTAAACGAGGGCAGGAAGCACACAGGACGAGGAAGGACAAGCGTGTCCGTACCGTGCCAGTCGTGTATACCTTTCCGTAGGGTGGATATCTCCTCGGCGGGCCCTCTCCTCACAGGCAAGGACCCTCAGACAGTTCTCGAACCCAGCTTTACTCTGGAACGAACCGTCGGCGTTCAGGTACCCGTCAAGCCGCTCCAGCTGCCATCGTTCCAGGCGGGCGATATCCACGAGGAAAGCCCCTTCAGGCCTCTCGCGCGCCGAATCCTCTTCAAAAGCAGCCGAAACGGAAACCCAAGCACGTCGTCGTCGGTAACATGAGCGATGTGATCGAGGACGGCCGTAGGCCGCTGGCGAGGCATCGACAGAATCCTCTCGCAATGAGTCGCACTGAAGCTCGCAGATCCCAGCACTGGGTTTGACTGAATGAAGTGGGCGAAGAGGCGTGCAGGTGGTGTATTGTCGAATTCTTTTGCCCGGCTGACAACGGGGCGGGACCACGCCGGCAAATACGTCGCAAACGCCTTTTCTCCCGCCCATCGCAGTGGGCAACGCCTCGGCCACGTATTGATTGACGTGAGCTGATGGTGATGAATGTCGCTGCTTGAATGATTTATTACTGTGTGGCAGTTCTCGGATCTGCATTTCTCATACAACGAACTCACCCGCCAGCATTTCTATCTATCGCCTCCCTGCTGGGTCGACTATGTGGCAGACATCATCCACGCGTCTGCATCGGAGCTGCGGCGGCAAGGCGCCACTTCGACCGAGGACGCCCTTGGAAGAATCGTGAGTCATCACACACACACACACACACAGACAGACATCAATGTGAGGGAAGGATTGATGCCCTTACCCTGATGTGCAGATCATCGTCCGTGACACGGCGAGAAGCGTTTCATCTCAGTCAGGGTTCCGTCTACTGGCGTACGACATGACGGCTCCCGGAGGTGGGTTGGCCCAACAGCGTCGATGGTAGGTTGCGGTGGTCCCTGCGAAGTTGATGGGCAGCTGGAGGGTGGGCGGAAAAATGAAGGGGCTGGTGTCCTTGCGGGGGTTGGGCTCGAGGGCCAGCTCCGCATAGCGCCCGACATTGCTTAGGATGGCGACAGGGCGGAAGGCAAGGCTCACACGACAACGCGCCGTGGTCTTGAGTGGAGGGTCAGCTGCACTCATGACAGCAGACAGGGCCACCACACGTGATCAGAATAGCCCACCCAGAAGCGTGTGTGTGTGCGTGTGTGCTCACTCGTGGGGCAACGCTCTGGGCTGCACGTCCAGACGACGTCCTCCTCACGCCGATAGTGCTCGAGGCACTCGGCCGCCCCATGGCTGCTGCCGTTGAGCACAGGTGGGGTGAGGTTGATGGTGAAGAAGTGCTCCTCCCTTTGCACTGGCTGCTCGGGGTTGCCGCACCGTGAGCACACGTACTCCGTCCGCTCGACACACCCCACTATCTGATGGATGTGCGTCCGCGGTGATGGGAGCGCAGGGTGGCCGTAGCTGAGATCATCGCAGAAGCGATTCAGCAGGGCCTGCAGCGCCTCTTGGACGTCTTGCTGTGCGCCGATGGCGAGGCTGGCATGTATGTTGGTGGTGTCCTTGAAGAAGGCGGGCACGTGGCGAGATCCGTTGGGCTCGCGAGCCGCACGCAGCAGCAGGTCAGCGAATGCACAAAGGCTGCATTGAGGGTCGCCGGGCCGCTTGCAGCGGGTGGGATGGGTGACGAGGTACTCTCGCAGGACGAGGCAGGCTGCGAGCGCTTTCAGCTTGGTGTTGCGATAGCACGAGTTGGGCGGGTTTTGGAAGAAGCCGCCAGTGAAGGCAGGAGATGAGTAGTTCTTGCACAGATACCCCACATACGAGTCAGTGTATCCAGCGATTTCGCCGGTAGCGGACATATCTGAATCGTCGCTTGGCCAGGCAGATCTTGGCTAGCCCGAGAATCCTGGAGGAGGCGGGCGAGACTGTGGGGGCTGAGAGGGCGAGACTGTGCGGGAGAGTGTTGAGTGTAGTGTCGGGTACACCAGCATGTTGGAGGGTGTTTTGTCAGATTGACTCACTGGGCTTGAAGGTGTGCTTCACGTGTTCGTGTGAGGTCGCAGTCTGCTCTGTTGGGGTACTGGTTCCCCGTCTCATGTCTGCAGGTGGTGAAACAATCTGTCTCACGTGTCTGTGTATGCTTATGTGTGGACACAGACAAACCATATGTATGTACATGGTGGGGGCCTAGGCAGGTCAATGCTGCTCCAGACGGACTCTTCGTCCTCTGCTACCGGAAGTCGGTCCTTCGCGGCCTGGACTCTACTAACCAGAGTGGCGTGGCTGGCACCCATTCACTTTTCAAGAACGAGCAGTCTGGCCACTTCAGACTTACACGCAGTACACCATCTAACGGCTCCCAGGGTTACGATTCATGCTCTAACACAAAAGAGGGGAGGGCGCAAGGCATGCCATGCATTCGTTGTTCCACGCTCGTCATGGACGGCGACTATTGAGCTGACGTTCATCGGCTCCCATCGCTCTCGTCCACGGCATCGTACGGCGTCCGAGTCAACGTCAGAGGCTCTTGCCGCCGAGTGGCAGTGCAGCGGCAGCTGTTCGACAGCTCATTATCCATCTGAGAGGCTCAGCGAGTGCAGCCCGCTCCACTCGTCATGTCAGCCGCGTGCGAGGTGGACCCGAGCTTGGACCCGACTCTCTATGCCAAGTACGATGTCGTCGGTGAGCTGGGCGCGGGCGCGTTCGGCAAGGTGATGCGGGTACGGGAGAAGGGCAAAGGGAAGGCGGGCCGTCTGTACGCGGCCAAGGTGCAGGACTTCTCGACCTGCCGGGAGGGCATCCCTGTCGAGGCTCTGCGCGACGTGGTGAGGCGGGGAGGCAGGGAGGGAGGGAGGGAGGGAGGGAGGCAGGGAATGAGGGGGTGGGTGCATGCAATGATGCCATGTCCTTCTGTTATCGACATGTGTGTGTGGCTGTGATGCAGGCCATTCTGAGCAAGATGAAGCACGAGAATGTGGCCAAGGTGTTCGAGGCGTGGGTGTCTGGCGAGGAGGGGCGGCTCTACATGGTCATGGAGTGTGCGGCCGGCGGCGACCTCTCCAGGTTTCTCCGCCGCAGCTTCCCACCGGTAAGCAGACCAGCAACCAAACGAAGGAAACCAACAGAGCCGACGGATGGACCATCGTGTGTGTATGTGTGTGCTGTCATGCATTGGCCAATGCAGCGAAAGGTCAAGGTGGATCGTATTCTGCCGCCCGAGCAGGTCAAGCGCTATATGTTTCAGGTGCGCAAGACAGAGGCACACACAGCCATGGGATGCCCCTTATCTGCTGTGTGTGTGTGTTGCATTCCTTGGACAGCTGCTGCTGTCGTTGGCCCACGTCCACTCGCACAACATCGCCCACCGCGACCTCAAGCCCGCCAACGTCCTGCTCAGCAAGAGCACCACACCTGGACGGTAAACCATGACACCCACCAGCCCACACACCCACACACTGTGTCCACTTGCATGTCTGAGCAGTGAGAAGTTGTTGTTGACCGATCTCGGCCACGGCCGTCTGCTGGACAGCCTCGGCGCCCCGCCCGTCCGGCACACCGTAAACACCGCACTGACCCGCCGACGGCAGGTGTCAGCGACACGTGTGGATCCGTTGTGCCATTCATCAGAACCCGACTGCGTTGGGGACGCCATCGTATAGGGCGCCCGAGGCGGTGCTGGGGCAGCGGACCCACGGGACCGCCGTGGACATCTGGGCTGCTGGTATGAGGGAGGGAGGGAGGGACTCACACATGGCACCTGCGGGATGTTTATTGTGTGTCTGTCTGTCTGTGTGCAGGCTGCATACTCGCTCGGATGCTCGGATGCCGCGCCTCGCCCTTCGATGTGAGTCAGCCACTGACCGGCTCACCGACCTATACGCACACACACACAGACACACACAGACAGAGATAAGTGTGTGTGTCTGTGTATGTGTGTTAGTGTCCTCTGGGTTCTGACTACGGCTCGCTGATTAAGATGATCGATTTGCTGGGGCTGCCGCCGCACAGCAGACTGCGGGCGCTCAACCTGCCGCACGTATGGACACACGGCACCAAAGCACCACACACACACAAAGTACAAACACGCGTCCGCCCGGCTGTGTGTCTGTGCAGTACCGCATCCTGCCGCGGATTCCGCAGCGCAGCAAGGCCGAGGTGCGCGTCAGGTTCCAGAAGATCCTGGCCGAGGGCGAGAACGGCGTGACCATCACTGACGAGGAGTTCGACTTCCTCTACGAGTAAGTCACACCATCAGCAACCTCCCTCCCTCCCATGGCCGCTTTGCTCTGTCTGCGTGTGTGTCAGTCTGATTAGGTTTGACCCCGCTGAGCGTTTGACGGCGGCGGAGGCGATCAACCACCCCTACTTTGACGATCTGGACAAACAGGTACCCAGCCAACCACACCAACAGAAGTGCCTCCATCCCTCTCCACCTCTCCTGGCCCATTCATTTGTGTGTGTGTTGGGTGCAGGAGTTTCAGCACTGGGCGGCTGACGTCGGCGGCCAGTTCATCCAGCCCTACACGCCGCGCATCGAGGTGGAGCCGGTCTACGAGCCGCCCTCCTTCGAGTCGCCCCAAGCTCAGGCACCTCCCCCTGCTGCACCTCCCCCTGCTGCACCTCCCCCTGCTGCCATCGCTGCCGCTGCCGTCGTCCCTCCTGCTGCTGCTGTGCAAGAGCAGCCACAGGACAACGGCCACCGATACCACATGCGCCCTCGGCGGAATAAAAAGCGGGCGGCCCCGAGTGCTGCGGATGGCGGGGTGCAGCACGGTGAGGGCGGGGGCGTGGTGATGGCGGGCGAGGCCAAGAAGGGCCGGCTGCAGGAGGACAAGGGGCAGAACGGTGGGGCTAATGAGGTGGAGAGGAAGCGTAAGAAGCGCAAGCTGGGCTAACTTCCCCTGGCGCACACAAACCACAGCAAAGTGTGGATAGCTGCGTACCCTGAGCTGGGCGGTGGGTGCGATGTAGAGACGGAGGGGAGGGGAGGGATGGGGACAACGGCGATCTGCGGGACGGGCGAGACGGGTGCGTGGATACATGTGGATGGATGACCGTGTATGATGGATCAATGGCACAGACACTCAGTGGAGGGAAGAAATCCGTGCATACACTCTCCCCATCGACATGACATACACCTAGTTGACAGCATCACTCACGTAGCATTCCGGCACCAGCAATCGACCCGCATGCCCAAACTCCTATCCACATTCAAGATACACACGGTGCACGGATGACACAAATCTACGGCACAGCGGCCCGACTGCCCTCCGACCTCAGCACTCACGCACTCCTCCTCGCCCGCCAGGCTGTCATGCCCTCCTGTCGACTGGCTGCAAGCTCGTCGCGCAGCTCCATCCATACGCTGCCCAGCGCACTCGCATAGCCATGGTCCCTCCGAGGCGCATCCTTGTACACGAGCCTGGCCGGTGCTGCAGCGGATACAAACACCACGGTGGGTCTGCGTCTCCTGCTCTGGAAAGGTCTCTCGCCCACCAGTGGATAGCAGCAGGTCCTGCAACCGGGGATGCTGGTGCAGCTTCAGACGGGCAAGGCGTCTGTAGGCACACAACGGGTAGAGACATGGTCGACACACGGTCGCGTGCAGTTCATGCAGTCACCTGAGCGCGTCAGGGCGGTGTGTTCGCCAGTCTCGCCTGCAGAAGAGCTTGCTGCTCGGCAGCTGCAGGACGGCGTCCATCTGTGAGGCGTCGCGGCACCTCCTGCTGGCCTCCTGCACATGCACGTCCCGGAACCTCTGCGCCTCCAACAACTGACGCAGATTCGCCCACAAGAGACGCGAATCCTGCACGTCACACAGAGAGGACAGAATGGTGGCATGCCGCCACCATTTGTCCGCCTGTTTGTTTCCTGCCTGCCTACTGGGAATGCGATCGCGAGATAGGCGTCGATGTGCAGCTCACACAAGTAGTCATCGACGGATGTGATGTCGAGAAGGCGGGGCGGATCCATGAGGGCACATGTGAGGTATAGAATGGCTTGACATGCTGAAGGCCGCGCATCCAGACATCCAGACAGGAGACACAAGGGTAAAGGCATGTTGGTCATGTCTCACCGGCACAGAGCTCCCACAGTGTCGCCTCCCGCCTGTGCGTGGCCTCCCTGAAGTCATCCAACACCACCGGCTCCTGGCAGTGCTGCAGCATACACCAAAGCACACCAGGCAGAATAAGAACGAATGATCCTGCCTTGCAGTCTACCAGACCTGGTTGGCGCAGAGGATGGCTCGCCCCGGGCTCGGCCATCGTGCTGGAACCTACAATGTACATCAAGAGACGCCCATGACGCTACTTGTGTTTCCAAAGCCGTCTTGCTACCCCAAAGTGAGAAAGGAATGGATCCGTACTCATGGCGACACCTCTGAAGGCCACGTCGGGATGCCATGAAGGCAGCAGCATAGAGCTGGTCGACGTGTTGGCCTTTTCGTCATGGCCATTCCTCTCAGGGACAGGATGGACAGGGGCTGAAAACATCGGCTGACTGATGCACCATACCATGCACAAGGAACGCTTGTCAAGACAACAGTCGGCCTCTGTTTGTTGCTCTCTGACCCACCCAATGACCGCTTCACATTCCTTCAGAAAAGTCTCCAGCTGTCCCTGGTACTCTTCATTCGTCGCAGGCCACTCATACTGCCCAAAGCCCTCTCCTTCGTCCATATCCTGCTCCGCCCTTCGACCCCGGAACTTGTGCGCCAGCCGACCGAATGTGAAAAGGCGCAAAGGGCCGCCAGCTTGCGCCGCGACTCCCCACTGCACAGAGATGTTGATCACGCCTGCGGCATGATGGTGGCTCTTGGCAGCATTTGAGAGCAGGGCGGTCTCTAGATGGATGCTGATTGTGGAGCGTGGAAGGGGGATCTCCACCTCACCTGAGCATCCATCCAACATGCACGGCGAGATACACGAGGATGTGCCTTGGTCAGCTCAGGAGTGACTGAACCTAGAAGTATGGCAGGATGTCTCCTTTGCACGGCAAAGAGCTCGACCAGAATGTTCTCCGGCACCTGCACAGACAAGAAGACATGCCATCATACATACAAGGATTGGTTTCCTCACCAATCCTGGCTGGAAGTCCAGCTGAAATGTTTTGCTGAGACACCATTCTGGATCACACGTCGTCTTGACAGGTGGAAGCGTCCACTGCTCCCGCGTCTCTCTGCTGGTGGGGACAGTGATGTTCACATAAGCTGACGGAGGCTCCCCAGTGCTCTCATCCGAGGGCAACCCACCCGCACTCTCGACGGATAGAGACAGCGGGCCGTGCAGGGGCTCTTCCAAGCTGTCCGCATCACCGGAGACGCCCAGCGTCTCACATAGCCACTGAAACAGCAAGCACTATGTCGGAAGAGGCCGATGATCCAGGTGTGTGTAGCGCACCTGATACTGCGCATCCCTCTGCTGTGCGTCGGTGGATTCAGGTCGCCACTCGACCTGAATGCCAATGTCGCCCTCCGCAACGACAGAGCCCTTTGCTGTGTTTGAGAAGAGTCTGGCCTTCAGCCGCCATTGACGCGACTCGGACAGAAGGGGCAAGGGCAGATGCGCCTCCCCTACAGACGGCCGGAAGGACACAGTGGACGAAACGAATGAATGCACCTTGCAACGCACTTACCAAGGAATGTCTCTCGGTCTGTGTCTCGATCTCGATGGACGACCTCGACGATCACAGACGTGTCTGCGTCACCTGCATGAGCAATTGATTGACAGGTGATTTTCATCAAAAAAGCCTGTTCATGTCAGCTGACGTCCGTCCACTCGAGATGGAAGTGCTTGGGTTCATTCCACGTCGGGTCATGCGTGTCGGGTTGGCAGGACGTGTGCTTTTCCTCCATTGTGTCCTCATTGATGGGCACCCGCAACTGACCTCAAGCAAAAAAAGAAATGATTGAACAGACCATAAGGATGACGCGACCGGGCATACCTTGACAAATGCGCTGGGGACATCGGATTCGTCGCCTCTGCTTCCCCGGGGGACGTATGGGAGACGCCGCGCTCTCCTGATCTGCCAATGCATATGAAACGCAAGGCTCGTCAGATACATCGGAGGCCCCTGTGTCTCCCGTTTACGTCGAGAGTGAGTTCGCCTTTTGGTCCCTCTGCCGGCAGGTCTCGTCCTTCCTCGTCGTCGATGCCGAACGCCCCAAGGAGACGCCGCCATTGATGAGCCCGCAGCGTTTTCTCACTCTCCCCGCCATGTTTCTTGCGGAGATGTGCCAGACGTCTTGTGAATGCCTCTGTGCATGACATGTGCCACTTTCCGCCACAGCTGCCTCGCACGGTCGGTGATCTCTTCATAGCTGTCCTCTTCTTCCGTCTCCTCGGCGACAAACTGCTCTTCCGACTCTTCCTCCTCCTGCTCGGAAAGGCGATCATGCAGCGATGATTCCTGCTCCTCCGACGAGGATGGCTGCTGGGGCGGCTCCAACTCGTCGACAACGATGTGATCTCTTGCCTGACTCTCCCCCTCGGCGATGCGCTGACAAGACAAACCTGATCAAAGACGGGAAGCGAAGGCGAGTACATGAGATCAGGCAGCATGGTTCTGTCTTGATGCTCACCGCAGTATCGCTCGAATGTTCCATCCCACTTCACGCAGCAATCTCTCACGCCGCACTGCTGGCACTTTGGCCGAGGTCCAAGCACCGGTGTCCTCCCAAGCACCTGAAAGCAATCGACGGGAGAAAATTGTGATTTGAATGAGCATCTGTGACGTACTGTTGACCTCTGGAAAGAACAAGGAAGACCACATCTCGACGCGGCTGGGAACGGCCGAATCAATTGGATTCGCGAGACGGCGGCGGGCCCCCCTGTTGCGCATGCAACGCGAAAGGGACGTCTGCGCTGTCCACATGCAGCCGGAAGTGTGACTGCCGGAAGCACAAGCGCCTCTGCACTAACTGTGTCAATTGCAAGCGCGGCACGTGCACGAATTTTGCGTATCCCGCGGACCCGGCCGTTAGCAATGATGATGATGATGAATCGGATGCCGTCTCCCCCTCTGCTGGCCCTGCCGTGCCCTCCACGGCTTCCTTTGTCGATGAGAAGATGCGCGAGGCCTTCGGCGAGCCCCT